TGCCCGCCTTTCAGGCTGTCAATCCCCCAGTTTCCCTGTCCTGGGCTTCTTGTAGCCACTGTTCCACTGGATCCCTGCTAAAAAATCTGACCAGTCTCTGTCCCGGAAATGACCCTCTTATGCTAGTACCATCCAGATCCTCAAGTTCAAATATGTTCAGTCCGACCCGCTTAGCGATCCTGTAAGGCCCTTTGAATCTTTTTCCCAGCTGCCCGGACCATATGCTTTCAAGAGCCGAGTTCCTAATTAGCACCTTTTCCCCCACCTGGAGTGGCTCCTTCCGAATGTTCTTAACCTGGTCCCATCTTGCTTTATCCCTCATTCGGCTATCCGTCACACGATTGACTACCTCGTCGAGTGCCTCCTCATTTCTGGCAACCTGCTGACAGCGTGCGGTGATTAACTCTTCCGTGCTCAAGTGTGGGTCGTCATCTAGCCTGTTCCAAGTAGGGACCAAAGCTTCTATCGGAAAATCGATCTCCCTTCCATACCAGAGTTCTGCTGGAATACATCCCGTTGTTCTTTTTGGAGTCATGTTATCGGCGAAGGCTGCCTGCTTGAGAAACCGTGGCCAACTTCCCAAATTATCTGCTGCCAACTTTGCGATTGTGTTCTTCAAAGTCCGGTGACCCTTTTCTACCGGTGCATTTGCCTCAGGATGGTAGGGCTCGTTGATCTTAATCGGTACACACAGTGTCTTGAGCCTGTTCAACACCTCCTGGTTAACGAATTTTGTCCCATTGTCTGCTATAAACCTGCGCACGAAGGGGTGCCTTAGGTAGAAGTCTTCCACCCAGTCGGCCACTGCTTTCCCTGTCTTCCTCTTGAGGGCTATGGCTTCTACATAGCCACTAAGATTATCTCTTGCATCCAAGATGTATCTAAACCCATCCGTCGATATGGGCATAACGGCAAGGTCGAGGTGAACAAGGTGTCCGGGTCCCAGTACCCGGGTGGGTCTAAGGGGCTCGTAAACCCGTACGGAGCTCCGCTCTTGACATATCAGACACGTCTAACAATACGTTGCGACCATGCCTGTCATTCCTGGCCAGAAATACAGGGGCACAATGTTTGCAAGTGTCCCCTTTGACGACCAGTGACCCCCAGCTAGCCCATCATGCATTGCCTGAATTATGTCCAGCTGCCTAGACCTCCCACAAACGACGCGTCTAGGCATCATCCCTTCCTCTCTCTTGAACAGGTGGTCATTTCTTAGGACGTACTTTTCTACTTCCTCCCTTGCCTTAGGACTGACTTCCGTGGGTTGTTTGTTCCCTACAAGCAGCAAACCGATTTCTTTGAAAACGCCCTCATACATTTGCATGAGGAAGAATTTATGTTCGTTCTGATCCGCACCCTGCTCCTCCCGAGTGAGGTTGACTAGGTACTGACACTCCTTCTGCGCCCAGGTTTCGGCCAATGTCATTACGACGTCCCGTCCCCCTTCCACGGTCATTGCCATCAATTCCTCTTTGGCCCTTACTTCTGCTCCCCACGAGTCTTTTTCCTCTTTACGCCTGATCGTAGTGATTGGTCCTTCCCTGAGTTCTGCAACTACTGCAGGTGCGCCCTTTTCCAAGGTCTGAATCAGCAACTGTCCTATTGTAATTGCCGGATCTACCATCTCATTATCCACGACAAGGGTCCCTCCTTCGTACTCCAGGAAGGCGTCGATTGGTTCTGCGTCCTCTACTCCTTCCGGCGTGATACAAACCCTGCTAAGCACATCTGCCCTGTTTCGAAGCCCTGCAATTCGCTCGACCTTATAGTCGAATTGCCATATGAAGCCTATCCATCTTCCAACAGTCGAGTCTATGGGCTTGTAGTTCCTTAGGGCTCCGGCAACGTTGGTGGGATCGATCCTTAGGATAAATCGCCTCCCGAACAGGTATGCCTGGAAGGTCTTAAGACAATGCAGGATTGCTAAGACCTCCTTCTTGAACTGCGAATACCGTCGTTCTGCTGAATTCAGGGTCCTACTTTCAAATCTGATTGGTCTTTCTTTGCCCTCCTCGCTTCTCTGTATCAATACTCCTCCCACTGCCAATGGTCCCCCGTCCGTTTCTAAGATGAAGGGCCGTCCTACCTCGTCATTGAAACAGGGTGCTGCTAACGTGACCTGATCGGATGACAGGATGTCTTTCAGGGTCTGGGCTGCCTCTTCCCTATCCTCGGTCCAATCCATAGTGCCACCTTCCCTAATCATCGCTCGGATGGGTTCTGCTATCTTTGCGAAACCTTTGATGAAGATCCTCCAGAACCCAACCACCCCTAGGAAGGCTCGTACTTCCGTCGTGGTACGCAGGGGTGTCGGCCACTAAGAGATCTTATCAGTCTTTGCTGGATCGGGTCTCCTCCCATAAGCTCCACAGCGAAATCCCAGTATGGTTACTTCCGGGACTGCCAGGATGCTCTTGGGTCCGCTTGCAGTAATGTTGTAGACTAGGAATCGTTGGAGTAAGTCCTTAATATCCTACAAGTGATCCCAGACGAACTTCCGCACTCCCGGTTGTAATTCTGTCTCATCTTTGTATCTTGCGCCTTTCACGGGATTATCATCTATGTAAGGTTCACACTTTTCCGAAAACATATCCCCTGCGACGGCGAGCATCCTCCTCTGAGCTTCTGCTACCGCATTTGTGAAGCCCATAGGGGTCACTTGCATCTGCAGCTGTCCTACCGAGGTGTGCATTGCGGTATATGGTTTATCCCTCGCGTCGAGTGGCAACTGATCATATCCTGAGTACAAGTGACCAGGGAGTAAATTATCCGCCCTGCATGAGATTATGCCAATAAGTCGGCCTGTGGAAGCGAGCCTGCATCCCTAATTGTTACCGCATTGAGCTTCTGCAGGTCCTGGATCCACCTGAGTGTCTTATTGGGCTTTCTGAACACAAACCACTTGTTCGCGTAGGGAGATGCGGTGGGTTCAGCCACGAAAGAATCTATTTTGGCTCTAAGCAGGTCGGTGACCTCCGCTGCTATCCCAAACTCATAGGCGGGCCCTTTATCATTCCAACACTCATGCTGTACGGTGTGGATCCTGACAGGGGGAACTAGCTTTGCGTCCAATCGTCCTTTCTGATGATCGTTGAAGGCGAAAGCTAAATGAAACTCCTGACATGCTTTTCTTATCAACTGAGTTTCTTCCGCTGTTAGAAACCCTTCCACTCCTATTTTCATGGTATCTGCTACCTCATCTGGTATGCGATGCCCTTTCATTGCTCGTCTCTCCCTTATTACCCGCAAGATTTCCTCCTCCTTCTCCATGGCCTCTTCCTTTGACGTTTCTACTAGGATCGAGACCGGTTTGGCCTTCTTGCCTACAGGTTTATACTTTCGCACACTACCTTCGGGGATCGTTCTCCCAAAAAATGAACGGTCGGGATCGGCCTTGCTACCTCCAAGACGCGGGGCTGGATGCTGACTAGCTTCCCATTCAGACAGTAGCCCTTTCGAACCCCATCCTCAAATCTGGCAAGCGCTGTGAGGTCCACCCCCACTTTGTGGTACCTGATGGCCTTGACGAGTTGTAATAAATCTGGGATTTCAAGCACTACCTCCGACGTTTCGTTCCGGCCTTCCTTTGGTTTGGGCAGGCTGGCCCCAAGTTCGACTTCCGACTCTTTTTCTGCCACCATAACTTCTAGGGACTCGTCCTCTGGTCTCCTCTTCTTTACGGGCAAGCCCATCTTGATCCATTCCTTTTTACTAAAAGCCTCCTTAATCATAATTTCTACCCTTTCCCTCATTCCTTTCATTCGTGCGAATGCCCCCTTCTGTGCACTTTCTTCGAATGTTGGCGACCAGGTTGCCAATTTGCCCTTCGGAGGGTCCCCTCCAGTTCCGCGGAGTCGGAGGAGTTCCCCGCGACCAGTCACCGGATCCTCTATGTCTACCATGTACGTGCCGTCATGCAAGTGCATGCCAATCATTTCTACATTGGCGCACTATGGCCTCCCAAGGATTATGTCATGGTCCATTTCTTCCATGACGGTCATCCGTTGGAAAGACCAGATGGATTCCCGGACTCCTGCCCTGACCGCGCATTTGGTGACGTTGCCAGTGAAGGGGATTTCTTCACCGGCTCCCCTGATACTCCCTGCTACTTCCTTGTTTATTGTGCACCCGGTAATTGTTGCGAAATCCCGTCGTATGAGGGTAATTTTTGCGCCGCCATCCACTAATGCATCCGTGTGGTGAGTTCCGATCTGGATTTTAAGTTTTCCTACTGGCAGTGCGTGAAAGTTAAGTTTAGTCTCAGGTGGTGCTCTCATGACTTCGCCGCCTTCACGATCTGGTAGGCTTAGGCGGATGCCCGCAAAGACTTTCTCCAAATCTCCCGGACCCCCTGGAATGCTTTGGAGGTTGGAGACTCCTTGTGGCGCCTCGGCCTCTTCCGTGTCCTACTCTTGCAGTTCCGAGGCCTCCTCTTCTTCTACGCGCTTACGCGTTAGCAACTGCCTGAGTCCTTTAAGCAGCCTCAGGCTGGCTTGCAGCATGGTCTGAAAAGACACCGATACCATGGTACCCAGTAGCTTACTCAAGGTGCCATCAATTTCTGGCGAAGTCAGGATCGGAATTTGATACCTGAACTTTTTTTTTGCCGCCGTGGCTTTGTCTACCGGTTCGTCCTCCCTTGGCTTCCCATAGACCTTCTCTTGTTCCTCGACTTCGGTCTCTTGCTGGCCCGTGCTAGTCCCTGCGAGTTCTTCCATTACTGTATCTTGGATGAGCTTCTTTTCCGCGCCAGCCCGTCGAGTAGTGATATTTACCCTATCCTGCCCATTGCTTTCTAGGATAAAATTGGCCTGTGGTCGCCGTCCCTTTGGCTGGTCCCAAACACTCTCGGCTATCGGCTCTGCTTCTACTGCAGCTATCTCCAAGTTATTCAGGAGGATGACGGCTCGCCGCATCCCTCCTGGCGAGTTCCAATTGACGCGCTCTCCCCTGGGTCCGAGGATCTCGCCTTTGAGGGACCTGCTGCACCTCTGCCGCTCGATATCGTGATTGAGTCTCGGACAGGCCCGTACGAAATGCCCGATCATGGTGCAATACTTGCATTATTCGTTGGCCGAGTCCCTCCTGCCAAACCCCCGGTTTGCTACAGCTGCTGGAACCACGGCCTCTTGGGGCGGGAATGCGGATCTGGACACTTGTGCCTGCATTACTAACAGCGCATTTTCCATTTTGTCCATCTTGCTGTCAACCCCGTGCACCCGTTCGTGCAGGCTCTCTATCCCCTTCTTGACCTTATCTCCCGTCTTCCCGGTCAGATCTATGACCTCCCCTTTCTTAAGCAGGGCCAGCGTCTCGGTGACCACTGTCTTTTCCGCAAGGTCTGTTACGGTGCTGAAGTCCACATCTCTCGTGTACTCGAACTTACTGGTCTGCTGGTACGCTGACAAAATCTTATCTTTATCAAACTCGGAAAACTGCCTGAGGAAGTATTTACTCATTATGCGATCCGTTACCCCGGTAATTCGCAGAGCCACTAACGTGAACGCCCTTAGGAAATCGTTGTACGTCGCATAGTTCTTCCTCTGGACTGCGGCTAATTTGGCCTCTGTTGCCATTTTCTCTGCCTTCAGGTATTTCCTCATTATCTCATTCCTGGATTCTTTCCAGGATTCACTGGAGGCGACGATGGCCATAATGTCCCTTCCTAAGCTCAGTGACACGTGCTGCCCTAGGTGCTCCATCTTCTCCTCTTCCGTCCATTTCAGTAAGGCTGCTAGGTTCTCATAGTCTATTAGAAACTCCGTAATGTTGGCCCCATCGAACGTGAGTTTCTTTTTTGCATCTGCGAGATACCCCTGGTTCTTGTTCAGTGTCCTGTTGAGGGTGGCGACTACTTTCTTGAGACCATCTTCGGAGCCACCCGCTTCCCCGACTGCACTGGTTCCTTCCCCTTCCTTGCTTTCCTTTTGCTTCTCCCTGGTTTTCGACGTTCCTTCTGGGTCGAACCATCCTAGCACTCTCTCCCTAAGGCTCCAGAGTCTGTCGCACGCCCCTGTTACTTTCGGCGTGGCAGGTAGTCTGCTAGTGCCGCTGTCGATGGTGGGTGGTGTCATAGCGTTTTCCGTTCCTTCCGCCGGGGGGTCGCTCTTGTCCTTCCCCTTCTTGCTAGGCGTTCCTTTATGGCTATTATCCTTCCTCTCATGCCTGGCCTCATCCTGACCGGTCCTACGCCCCTCACGTGACCCTGCACCCTGGGGGTCCTCCTCATCCCCGGCCATCATCTGCTCGATAAGCCTTGCCCTAAATTTTGCAGTCTGTTTTTCTATCTCTGCCAGTTTACGACTGGCATCCGAGACTTTTGTCTTTTTAGGGGTGACTCCTGCTGAGTTCCGAGGGCTTGCTCTTATATCATTTCCCCCTTTCCTGTTTTCCTGGGGTCCCCTTTTGCTACCCCCAGCTTTCCCCGAGCTTTCTCCAGTTGAGAGGTCCTTTCCGTCTTCTCGGGTTCCTTCCAGTTTAGCTGACTCTCGATCCCTTGCCGATCCCTCGTTTCGCTCCCCGTCCCCATTCGTGCCCTGATTCCCTCTGCTCTGCTGGTCATCGAACCCTTCCTCAGTCGCCATTTCTTTACGTAGCATGCACATGGAAATTTTTTTTTTTGTAAAAAATGGCTGGTTGTTTATAACTGTCATAGTCCCGGCCCTAAAACCCGCCTATTCCCATGTTTTTTTCATCTGACATTAATCGGTCCGACTCTCCTGACTTTTCTTTCTCAGGGCGTCCTTCAAGTTTTCCCCTGCCGGGGGACTTGCCGCCGCTGCTTGGCATTTTATTACTGCCGCGCTTAGATTCTTAGGGCGGTGCCTGAGCCCAGTGGCTTTCCTATCGGGTATGGCCCTTTTGGCTTATTGGCATCCAGGTGCCCCCGAATTCTTGGGGCGGGTGGTTTTCCTAGTTCCTCCCTGCCGCATCGTTGGGTCGGCCGGAACTCCAACCATTGCCCCTCTTTGTTGATGCTCGTCTACTCATCTTAGTACCCATCCTTTATTTCCCTACCTCTTTCTGACGCGTTTTCTCATGCAAGTTCCTCAGGCCTGCCCTGCTCATCCGGTTCCTCGAACAGGTCGGCCAACCCAGCAAGGTAATTTTCCCCCATCTCTATTTCCCTGATAATTATTGACTCATATTCTTCAAACGACRGGTGGGGCAATCCGAATATCAAGATCTCGAGTAATTCGAGTAGTTCCCAGGCCTAATTCCCCCAGAACGGCCCATGTCTGACTGACACATCGTAGAACATGCTCGTTGTTTGTGGCCGGAAGAGGTGGATCCAGACCAGGGTCGAGTCCACCAGGTCCCTAGCTCTCTTGAGGCTACCGAATACCAAGTCCACCATGAAATGAGGTACTCGACACCTCAACCCGGTCATTGGGGCCTTAAACTCTCGCCACCCTCCGACATCCACCCGAGTTCTTAATCCCACGTTTCTTCTCCCCCGCACTTTCTGGCCCACCATGTTCAACACCCTAGTAGCCCTCTGGAAGATTGGTAGCAACCCGTGACCTAGTGCCAATTCCGTTCCTAGCATGTGCCACCCGAGCTCTAGCAGGTATACGGTCCCCGTCACCCTAAGATTGGTGTACAGGTCGTCCCCCGGTCCCCTGTTAATTCTCATACCATCCCACAAACATTCCACCATCATGAACGCCTGACCTCTTCCCAGGATCACGGCTCTCCACTCGGTGTCCAATCCTTAAATCATGTAGCTTGCTGGGAGCGACACCTCCCATCCACCTCCGTTTTTCGTGGGTGGTCGCGGGTGCATGGGTCGTCGCGACATCCGGGCACGTCTCATCGTCATTTCCGACTTAGAAGTCCCCTGCACAGTTTTAAACAGCACGCGAGTTTACTTATTCCACTTAGTCTTCAATTTTCCACCCGAACAACTCCCCGATCCCTAGCCTGGCGCTTTTTTCCCCCTTCTATTTCTTTCCCCTCTCTTCAACACTATTACCGACCCGTTCCCTCCTCCATCTGCTCATACAATCGGTATAGATCATCTACGTACGCCATCCCTAGGTTTATTTACCGCCGGACGACACCCCACAGGACCTCACTTCCCACGACCGGAACCCTCGACCTGGTACTAAACACAGCACGCAGGATGCGCAGCACCTCGTACTTCTGCTCTCCGCTAAACGGCCCCATTTCTAAGAAGGCCCGGTAGTATTCTCGATGTACCATCCCCTCTTCATACGTCAGGCTTGCGAGGTCGGCTACTGCTTGTCTAACAAGTTCCAAACCGCCCAGCTTTTCCAGCAGGAAGGGCGGCAGCCTCGTTCGTACATTTTCACTAGGCAATTCGAAACTCCCGACCATGGCTACCCTAAGGTCTGCTGTTACATTGTCAACCCCCGGATATGCGAACTCAAACCCCGCTCACCATACTAACTGCCATGCCCCCTCAAACATGCTCAACGGGTCTTCTCCAGATGCCAGCCGAACTCCGAACTCCCTCCACCCATTTTCTGATACATACAACCGCCCTTCTGCATGCACGTGCCCCCGTGGGTCCGGGTTCCATTCCCCATTCTCAATCGCACGCCACTCAACTTTCGTCACCAAATAAACCATATTTTCCGCAAGCTCGATCCCGACCCAATCCGCCACCTGGTGCCATCCCTCGCCTGTTGCCGGCAAGCTAACATCTATCCCACCCGGTACTTCCCTAGGCGGTTCAATGCCCAAGGGGCGTTCTTCAAGGAACGTCCTTCTTCGCGCCATCGTGCGCTCGCCTTTGATCTCCCGGCTCGCGATCCGCGCTGAACCCTACAATGGTCAGACATCCCATTCCCTTGTCTTAGCAATTTTTCCCATGTTTGCCTGGCCCCACGGCTTTCCAGCGCTTAGTCGAACCACAGTACCTTGAACAGTTTGAACACATCATCCACATAACAAGGTGTTGCTGCCACCTCACGGCGGATTATGGCCTCTCTAGTTTCTGGGGCCACCTCCTGCCGGTCATTCTTTTCAATGTCCAAAATGATAAGGACCTCCTGGGCTCTATTGCCATGGAAGGGCCCGAATTTCAAGGACGTCCTATAAAATTCCTCTGTCAGCCATGCGCAGTCCACGTGTATTCGTTCCATCGTGTCGGCTACCTCTGTCACGTGATCAAAGCCCCCAAACCAGTCCGCCACAAACTCGGGCACCTTGGTCTTGGTTCGGGTGCCAGGCGGTTTAAATTCCTTCCACCCTCCCATCACGACTCTACTGCTGACCGTATCCCAACCCTGGGTGGCGAACTTTTCCCCTGCCTGCCGAGCCCTTGCCTCGGCGTCCCCTAGAAGCCACATTGGGTTCTGTCCTGCCGCGAGCGTCGTGCAGAACAGGTGCCAACCTTGCTCCGAGAGAACGACCGTCCCAACCGATTCCACCCTACCTTCCGCAATCTCCTCCCATCCTTCCTTTTCCCTCAACGGGTTCTAAGCACGTTCTATCCATAGATACGACAATTCCGGCACAATTTCATACCCCCGTCAGTCACATGTGGTCCCCTTCCATTCATTACTCGGTGGTATAGACATCTCCACTCCCCTCCTGGCTCGCTTTGGTTCCCACTTGCAGTCCCATAGCTCAAGTTCCCGAACCATCGCTCCTCGCCTGCACATAGCCGACAACCCGTTTCCCAGGTAAGTCCCTCCATCCCTCTCAAAAGTCCCTGTCCTCTATCTCATCCCCGTCCTCGTCATCACTGAAATCCCCCTCCTCGTCCAAGAACAACTCTTTCACCCCTTCCAGGAAGGTTTCTCCCGCTGCCACACTCCGGTAAACTATCTGCCAATGCACCGGGCTGGGAACAAAGATCTCGTCCGCGCTGAGGAGGTTTAATACCTCAGCTAATTCTTCCGCCTAGTTTCCTTCGAACGGCCCCGCTTCCACCGACACTTTAAAGAAATCCTGCCTAGCACCTTGGTACAACCTCAGGCGCGTTATCGACCGGCATATCCGCTCCAATCTACCCCTGGTCCCAAAGACTGCATCCACCAGAAACGGGGGTAGCACGCATCTCATTGTCCTAAGGGGACGTCTCAGATTTTTCCGGTCCCCGAGTTCCACTCGCACCTCCATCCTTTCCATCTCCATTTCTGCCCGCTGACATGCTGCCCATACCACTTCCCGTTCCGCTTGCCTAAACAGCTGATCCGGTGCCGTGCCCAATACTAGTCCCACTACCATTGCGTTTTCCATTTCTTGAGATAGGTAGATCCATCCTCGAGCTTCCACTGTTCCCCGGAATTCTAGGTTCATCAAGCTAGGTGAGAGTCTTGTCAGGCTGACCTTAGTCCAGATTGTCTCTATCCAGAGGAACGCGTCCTTCTTGTCCAGCATCACGGTTTCATAGGCTGGTTCTAGGTCGGTCCACGACCCTTCTTCCGGGAGAACAACAGATACCCCATCCCTTACCTCTATAGGCATTTCCGGACCACTAGAGTAGACAGGAGGCGACAACCACCGCGCCATCTTGTTTCCCGGCGCTTGTCCTGTTTCCACATGGGAGCACCACACGGCCCCTCATGGTCAGATGGTTTTCTTCCCTTTTCTAGATGAGAGTTGTTTTCAGACCCCTCATCCGGGTCTCCCTAACGTTTCTTATCCATTTCACAGGTACCATTGCCCTACCATACCCCCAATCGATCACTAGTGGCTCGCATTCCTTTTTTTCTTGGTTCCACTTTCTTCCGACTCCTATCCAGCTTCTTCCTCATGTTCTCTCACTCGTGCAGACTTAGGCAGGGTCGAGAATAGACTAGAAACTTAGTTCCCCTTCCAACATTCATCAGGCAACTTTACAGAGGGAGGCACAAAAGCAAAACTCAGACAGACATCGCACACAGGTCGGTCATCTCCTCACCGACCTTTTTCCGGAAATGGTCTCTCCACTGTTACTATTGGCAGGGTTTTACCCCATACCTCAAGCACAGCTCAACCGTCACGAGCGCGGTACCCAGGTCTCGGCAAGGCATTCGCCCTTTCCTCCATACCCAGAATACCCCATCCCGACTTGCCGCTCGTGTACCCACCGTTAATCTCGGGAATCACCCCGCACATCTCGGTAGGGCCATTGGAGCCAGCCGTCTAGGCATTCACTTCCATCGGCCCTATAAGGAACAGCCTTTCCCAAGCCAGGCTACAAGAAGCTACTGATCGCCTCCCAAGCTCGGTCTTTGCCCCCATGCAGTGGTGCTCCCTCCGCCAGTCCACAGGCTAGGTCCTGCCTGAGGAACGTTTCACACCCCGCCCGACAGATCAATCGAGCCGAGGCCCGTCACCGCGCGGACGAGAACGCTAATAAGAACTCGACGTGACAAACTCCCGTTAGACAGCTCGGTGGTCTGACCCCCGCATACGAACAAACGGCAGTCTGCAAAGAGAACGATGTTTGGCAACCCGCAGTGGCCGGTGCAGATCCCCCCTTTCCTTCCAAATGGCAGGACGCTCGAAATCCCAATCATGCAGTCACAAGTCCCAAGTGGGACACACATAGAACAAGTGCCTTTCCCTTGGTGCACCCAGCGCTTCCTACCCATTGCTCACAAATTTTCACTCAGGACAGTGCGTGCCACTCACCCCTAGCTTCCATACATAGTGCCTGGTTCCTTTTCGTGAGCATCTTCAAGGGT